TGAGGGGCACCTGTTCACATAGTTGGGATTGGAGCTAACTCCTCAGGCCTCTCTACTGGTTCCCTGCTTCATGCCAGTATGTTGTATTCACATCTTGGAGCACTAGGTTGAAGTCTGGTCTCTCTTTCCCTCTGGAGATATAAACAGGGTGGGTTAGTGCCCTGTTCCCCTGCTAGCATTTCTTATAGTACATCTACTAATGATAATATCTCTCACTTTTTGTCTATCTGGAAATGCCTTATTTTCTCTTTCATTCTTTGAATGACAATTTTGTTGGACATAGGGTTCTTGCTGGAAAGTCTTCTTATTTCAGCATTTGAATATGTTATCCCAATGTGTTCTGGTTTCTATTGATTTTATTGAGGATATGTTGAATATAGTAGATTTTTATTCCCTTTCTAGTTTCAGGTTTTTATCTTATCTATTGATAGTATCACTTTGATATACCTAAATTTCCTTGAGACTATGCTACTATGCTACGTGTTGTTAATTGAGCATCTTAGATGTATAGATAAATTATTGCATGGAATGTGGAAGATTTTAACTCTTATTTCTTTAATGCAATTTCCAGCCTTTTGATTCCTCTCCTTCTGGGAATCCTATTATGTTTATATTGGCACACGTGACTATGCCACACAAGTCTGGGGTTATTTAAGTCCACCCTCATTTAAAACTTGTTTCTTTTCCTTAGACTGGGGCATTTCAATGGACTTTTAAGTTCACTGATTCTCCCAGGAACTCAAGTCTACTTTTGAGCTACTCTATGAATTTTTCACATCACTATTGCTCATTTCAGTGTCAGAAGATGTATTTGCTTTATTCTTAAATTTTTCTTTCATTATTGCTATCATCTACTTTATGAGCCATATTTTTATATCACTCTTAGATTACTTAGGTTGATTTTCTATAGTTCATTGAATATATATATATAATAATTGTTAAACTCATCTCTTTGTAAGTCCAATATCTGGAGGTCTTCAGAGATAGTTTCTAATGACTGCTTTTCTCCCTTGTGTATGGCCCCTACTTTCTCGGTTGCATGTCTCACAACTTTTTAATTTAAAACTTGATATTTAAAATATAATATCACAACTGTGAAAATCCGGTTCTTTCTTCCCTGCCCCCAAGTTTGTTGTTATTCCTATTTATTTCTTTATTGAATTTCCTGGATAGATTCTGTGACGTATGTACTCCCTGTGATCTGTAGTTACCGTAGTCTTTGCTTCATCAGCTTAGTGATCAGCTGATGATTGAACTGCTTTCCTTAAATACCTTGAACCAACAAGTCTTGCATCCTTTGTCTTGCATATGTTGGGGCACCCTAAATGTTCAGGTTGTCTGAATACTGAATTAACCTTTACTTCTCACTTGTTCCAGGTCTCAGTGTCATCCAGAGATGAATGATGAATGTCTTTTTAGTTCTTTCCTGGGCATATGAGTGACTCTTCATGTGTATGACCTTTTAGAAGTCTGTGGCTATGTCAGAAATTTTGGTCTGCTTCTTGATTGTCCCAACTGCTGTCTTTGCCTCTGGCAGCAGTGTTATTGAACAATTGCTACTAATTTTTTTTAGGGAAGACACTTTAGGGATAGCCCTTTCCCTGGTGAATGATCCTGGAGTCAATGAAAAGAAGATAAACTCTTTGGGGGCTCTTCCAATGAGCTTCCAGGCAGGTCAACCGATAACAATTGTATGATACAGACCATTTTGAGGCACTCCAAACCCGATCATGCCCTGCAGCTTTCCCAGTGACTGAGGACCCCCGGTTGACATAGTGAGTTACACATCAGCCTGCTAACCATAAGATCAGTAGTTTGAACCCACCTCCCTCTCCATGGGAGAAAGACGAGACTATCTGTTCCCATACTTACAGTTTTGGAAACCCAACCAGGCAGGTCTACCCTGCCCTCTAGAGTCACCATGCGTCAGAATCAACTCAATGGCAGTGAGTTTTATGGCACCAAGTTTGCCGGTGTTCACAGCTACCATAAAGCTGGAGAGGGAGCAAGTTAAAACACCTTAAAACTTACTGATGCAATTGTCATTAGGCAGCTTTTCTTAAATAAACACTCACTGGATTCTTAGAAACTTTGCTGAGGTCTGCAGAGTTGGTTTGACAATGTTTTCTACTGTTCCCACTGACTTAATGAAGAAGATTTTCACAGGCTCTTACTTTACCACTTCCCAAATCACCTCATCTTTTAAAAGAACAATGTCTGCAGTGTTAATATAAACGTTTCTTCTTTTTATTTTTAGAGACCTTGGAGATCGCATCAGTAAATTTACCTATTCCAGTGCAAACCAAGAACTACTATAAGAATGTTTCTGACAACAAAGAGATTGTAAAGTTAGTCTCAGTGCTTAGCACCATCATCAACTCTACAAAGAAGGTATGCCAAGAGAGTTTGTAGCCAGAGCACTTTGCTTGATAGTATGTGCACTTGTGAAAAATTAAGACACCACAAGCTTATGCTACAGTTAGCCCGAGTTTCTTCCACTGCACCTTAAGTGAATGGCTAGTGGTGTCCTGTATATGCTCATAAAATTCTTGTTTAATTGAAGATCATTTCATTCTAGATTGTAAGTTAAAAGAGAGCTGTTACTGCTATGGTTCCTTTTCTATCCTGGTTAATGACTTTAGACTAATGAGTCCAACTTTTAAAAACTCCGATTTACATAAATGACAAATGAAAATGAGGTGCAATTTACAAGCCAGTGACACATTTTTCTATGTTTGAAACAGAAAAGGCATATGGTCATCTTTTCACACAGGTTTAATTAAGAAAGTCTTACAAAATATCGGACAATAAAAATGTACGGGCATTAACATATAGAGATCAGTCAAAGTCAGAATAAATCAAATATTAACATTATAAAGACAAGCTTGTATTGGGCATATGGAGTAATTGTTTTCTTCTAAACTAATTTTTCTTAATTCCTCTTCTAGTAAAAAAGAATAAAAATTCCTGTAATTTTTATTTATGTTGGATTTCAAAAAAACCTTGGCTCTGTAAATACATTATCATCGTTGAGAGGATAATCATTGCTCAGTAAACGAGCATCTTTTCGATGGCTTGCTTTTTGATAGCATGAGTCACATGGCTTGAAAGAACAGTGAGAAACTGCTATGACAATATAAAGAACTAGTATTAAGCTTAGCTTTAAAGTTGTTCCTGAGGGAACTGGAAGCTTTTGCATTTATGTGCTTTCAGTTTTGCTGTCTCAATATATTGAAGGGCATTTATTTAATTTTCCCTGGGGGACAATGCAAACATAATTCAATTTAACAAATATTTATTCAGTGTTTAGAATATTGGGCCTGATATTAAATGCGAAAGTTAAGTATTCTATGATGATAATAAAAATTCAACTATGTTTTCAGAGGTCTAAGTAATCAAATAATAAATCAAGAATAAAGACCATTAGTTTTCTGTATATAAGTGACAGTATTACAAAAATGTAAGGGTAAAACAGAATTGAAATTAACAAAATGCTAGCAACAAAATATCTATTTCTGTGTCATTTTGGTTTAATGAGGGAAATGAACAAATGCTAATCTTGCTTAAGATAACAGAAGGATGGACATCTAGAGTAACGTGACTGTGTTCCACCCCCCCAGATTTATAGAATGGTCAGAATTGTTTTTGGAAGAATAAATGCACACTTAGTCATAGCACCAGACATGGCCAGCCTCTTGTCCACAGACATACCCCTGTGAAGGTCGGCAGGCGCTGTCCCTTCCCTCAGGTTCTGATTTAAATAGAATGCAAGCATTACTTATTCTCAGAAAACCCATAGGTTGGCCATCGACATATAGTGTTGCCTATCTTGGAAAGACGATCTGCACCACACAATTAAAATAAATGTATCGATAAAAATAACTTTAAGCAGAACACGACTTCCGTGATAGTTCATGTAATATTTTTGTTAAAAGTTTCCATTTAGTATCAATTCACACTTCCATGAAAAATAAATGAATGTAAAACTTACTTGGGATAACTTTTAATATCATGCATACTTGAATATAGAAATTCTGGGATTCCTACCCATATCCAGGAATCTTTGATAATATCTGGAACTCAAATCATGGAGAATCTGCCTATGTTTATGATCCAGTTGCAATGTATTCTGGGTGTGTACTCACACTTCATCCTGTGACAGAGGATCAGCTCTGGTTGGAATAAGTGATGGTGGATCTATCTTTCTGTATTTTTCTGGGTGGGAAGTCTCAACATCCATCAAAGCCAAGCCTTTGAGGGACACTTTAGCAGCATTCAGGGCATTGAATGAAGCTGCTTCCTTGCACTGGTGCAGATGGGCACAGCTGACTTAGAATAATTGCAGAATTACATTGCTTTTGGAAATACTCTATTCTGATAAGTATGGCAGTTGTTATCCTACCTCAGTATTTTCATTTCCCCATGAAACTCTAACTTTGAAGTTATACTGTAAGCCAATGGACAACTTGATATCCCAAGTGGTATAAACATAGAGAATGAGGAGATAATATTTAAAATTATTTATAGATGATATGCTTATCTGCCACTTAATATGAGAGCCTAATTAAAAAGTAGAAAGATCCAACAAGTTAAGTTGGTAGTTGAAAAAAATGTAGAAGCATTTCTCTTATAAATCAATCAGCATGTTCCCGAGCACTCCATCTGTTTTGCAAATTCAATCGGCATAAACTATGCTTAACTGTTAATCTGAAGGCTGGCAATTAGAACAGAACCCCTCAGGGCACTGCGGGAAGCAAAAGACCTGCACCCAAACTCACAGATGGTGAGTGGATTCCAACTCGGAGTGACTCTGCATAGAGCAGCTCTGCATCTTTGGGTTTTTGTGGTTGTAAATCTTTGGGGCAGACAGCCTCATCTTTTCCCCATGGAGCAGCTTGTAGGTTCAAACTGCTGATCTTGCAGTTTGCAGCCAAACATGTAATGCACTCTGTCTCCAGGGCTCCTGCTATGGGAGAAAGGTCTGGTGATTCGATTCCATAATGATGACAACCGAGAACATTTTGTGGAGCAGTTCTCTGGGGTAACATGGGATTGCCATGAGTCAGAATTAACCTGATGGCAACTAGCAACAGAAACATGAGAAATATAGGGTTCAGGCAGACACCTAAAACTTTGTGACGAAAACAGCACCAGCCATAATAGAATGTTGTCGTTGTTGGGTGCCATAGAGATGGTTCACACTCATTGCGACCCTGTGAGCAATAGAGCTAAACATTGCCTGGTCCTGCACCATCCTCACAATCGTTCCTATGGGTGAGCCCATTGTTGTAGCCACTGTGTCCATCCATCTCGGTGAGAGACTTTCTCTTTTTGGTTGCCCCTCCACTTTACCAAGAATGATGTTCTTCTCCAGGGACTCTTTCCTGACAACGTGTCCAAAAGATGTGAGATGAAGTCTCTCCATTCTTGCCTCTAAGGAGCACTCTGGTTTTGTTTCTTCCAAGACAGATTGTTTGCTCTTTTGGCAATCCATGATACTTTCAATATTCTTTACTAGCACCACAATCCAAACATATTAATTCTTTTTCAGTCTTCTTTACGCAGTGTCCAACTTTCACATGCATATGAAGCAGTTGAGAATACCATGGCTTGGGTCAGACCCACCTTCGTTCTTAAAGTAACTTCTTTGCTTTTCAATACTTTAAAGAGGCCTTCACAACAGATTTACCCAATGTAGTGCGATATTTGATCTCCTAACTGCTGCTTCCATAGACATCGATTGTAGATCCAAGCAAGATGAAACCCTTGACAACGCCCATATTTTCTTCATTTATCATGCTACCCACTGGTCCATTAAACAAAAATGAGAATTTTTGTTTAAATCCATTCTTAAGGCTGCAATCCTTGATCTTCAACAGCAAGTGCTTCAAGTCTTCCTCACTTTCAGCAGGCAAGGTGGTGTTATCCACAAATCTCAGGTTATTCATAAGCCTTCCTCCAATCCTGATGCTGCATTCTTCTTCAAATAATCCTGCTTGCTTAATTATTTGCTCATCCTCATAATAAAATATTACCAGTTATTTAAAACTATAATAAATATAGACCTTTGGTATAAAAAATGAAAGAAGCTTGGTGAACAGTGATGTAAGAAAGAGTTTTGGTAAAAAAAAATTAAAATAAAAAATTTTAAACAGAGAAAAGAAAGAGTTTTGCTGACTGAGTTATGGAAATAAGGATAAATTACCCCAAGCTCAGGTTGAACTGTGCAGGGAGCATTCTCAAGACAACTCAGTCCAAGAGAAAGAAGTAGAAAATGGGGTGGCCCACAGTGCTCTGCTGCTCTGAGGCAGGCTGTTTGTGACAGTGTCATGCACTTCCCTAGGTGCCATCAAGTGTATTTTCAATTCACAGTGACCCCGTGTCTAAAGTCTCCATGGACTCCCATTACAATTTGTACCAACCACGCCTCTCCTGTTTCCAGCTAGGGATGGTCCCAGGCTCAGTGTCAGTGCCTTGGATAGATGCTCACACCTTTTTTAAAAATTTTTTTTTAACATTTTATTAGGGGCTCATACAACTGTTATCCCAATCCATACACACATCAATTGTGTAAAG